AACAAGGTAAAGTGCATGCTTGCTGCCACCACAAAACCTTCAAGTTTTTGAAAAAACAAAGTATCTCTGTACTTCTTCCAATCACAAATTTCTGAAACAATCTTGCTATGCAGCAGAAGCTCCCCTGGAATTCATGATCACCTCCTACACCCACTCCCAAGTAGGTGAGAAAACAGGTGCCTATCACCAGCCTTGACTGCTTAACCCTGAAATTATGAGTGTAGAAGATAAGGCGTCTGTCTGTACACAGAGGCTAGAGAGATGGCTCAGCAGTTAAGAGCACTTGCTAAGCAATCGTGAGGCCCAAAGTTTAGATCCTAGCATGCATAAAGCAAACTGGGGCCACCACAAGCACCCTTGGCTCCCAAGGAGGCAGAGACAGGAGAATTGCTGAGGTTTACTACTACTGTCTTTAATCCTAGTCAGAAAAACATGTTCCCTAGGGTTCAGAGAAAGACCTTGCCTCAAAGGAATTGGTCTGGGATCCACACTTGCACACAGGTACATGCAGCCCCCTTACACACAGCTTATAGGCACTAGAGTGTACACACGCACAGACACACAGACATACACACAAGTAATTTGTACATAAATCATTATGTATTCATTTTCTATCTGACAGTAAAAAACTCAATTACTTTCATGGGCATAAACTTTATTGTGGCAGTCAGATACAACAGTAAAACAAATTAAGATTTAAAAAAATTTATCTAAAATTAAGAGAAACTTAAGTCTTAAGTATCTACTTACCTTTCAATGTGTGTATATGTGTGTGTGCGTGTGTGTGTGTATATATATATATGTATATATATTCATTTTTGTCTTACTTCACTCCAAAATGCATATCTATTTTTGAGGGGAGCGAGAGCATTTAAGAGCACTGACTGCTCTAACAAAGGTCCTGAGTTCAATTGCTCACAACCATCTAGAACTGTAGTGCCATGGACTCTGAAGCCCTCTTCTGTTGTACAGATGTACATGCAAATAAAATACATAATTTTTTTAAAAAGTATTGCCTTTTTTTATTCCCTAAATGTATTGCCTTTCTTAATTCCCTACAACCTTTTCTTCCTAATTCCTTCACACAGGCACCTTAAAAGTAGACAGGCATTTCACCCTTCATTTAGTGTAGAAGCTAAAAACATTAACATAACAGAAAACTTAAATGTCTCTAGTAGTAGAAATCCTTAAGTTTTTCTCAACAGTTAAACATTTCAAACGAATAAGTTTCTCACAAATTATCTAATATTGAAAAACCATTTTTGTCAAGTTATACTATACAAAATTCAATTTGTGTTAACACAAAATCACCTTACTGATCCTTGAAAGACAATATTCTGTTTTTAACAACTATCAAACTACTCCCAAATTAGAACTGCAGAAATCTTTTGAAAACACTAGTTAGCATTATTAGCTCATTTTCTCCTAATAACCTGTGATTGGTGCTTCTCACCAATTTCTAGATCAGGAAACTCACACACAGACAAGCTAATTAACTTTCTAAGTAGCAAAGCTTGTTGGTCAGACTAGGAAGTCCTTACCCAGAACCCTTTTCCCCTCTTTCAGCCAGGAAGGCCTTGAATAAGCTTTGTAAACAAAGCTGGCCTTAAATTCAATACCTGCTTCTACTTCCAAAGCAGTGTAGGTCTAGGTAGGCTTCAGAAACTCTTAGCTACTAGCCATGTGCATCCCTTAAGTTTCCTTGTTCATCTCAAAACAAGCCTATAATTCGGGTTCTTAGAGAAGCTAAATAAGAAGGAGAACCCAAAGAAAATCATATAGGCATCCTCCTGAATATTAACCTTCATCAGGCGATGAAAGGAGACAGAGACAGACACCCACAATGGAGCACCGGACTGAAATCTCAAGGTCCAAATCAGGAGCAGAAGGAGAGAGAGCACTAGCAAGGAACTCAGGACCGCGAGGGGTGCACCCACACACTGAGACAATGGGGATGTTCTATCGGGAACTCACCAAGGCCAGCTGGCCTGGGTCTGAAAAAGCCTGGGTTAAAACCGGTATCGCTGAACATAGTGGACAATGAGGACTACTGAGACCTCAAGAACAATGGCAATGGGTTTTTGATCCTACTGTACCTATTGGTTTCGTGGGAGCCTAGGCAGTTTCGTGGATGCTCACCTTACTAGACCTGGATGGAGGTGGGTGGTCCTTGGACTTCCCGCAGGGCAGGGAACCCTGATTGCTCTTTGGGCTGACGAGGGGGGGGGACTTGATTGGGGGAGGGGGAGGGAAAGGGGAGGCGGCAGTGGGGAAGAGACAGAAATCTTAAATAAATAAATAAATAAATAAATAAATAAATAAATAAATAAATGAAAAAAAAGAAATTAGATAAAACATTTGAGTATTTTAGGCTGCATCTTTAAGTGTGTAACTGTCATGGGGTGGGGGTTGCCCTCAGAAACCAGAAGAGGCTATCAGATGCCTTGTATGTCAGTGGCAATCATAAGCCACCCAATAAGAATGAAAGAATCAAATCAGAGTCCTTTGAAAGAGCAGAGAGAATTCGAGAGCTGTGCCATGAATTACAAGAAATACAGACAACCAGGTAGCTGTGACAGCTAAAACCTATAATCCCAGCAACCAGGTGGCTGAGGCAGGAGGATCACTCTAAAATCAAAGCCAGGGAGCACAGGGTGAGGAAATGAGACCTTGTCTTAAAAATGCAAGAATAGGAACAATGGCAGGTAACTGAACAAATAATATATTAAAGGAAACTCTTTTACATGAACTTGCAGATTTCAATAACTGCACAACCAACAAATTTTAAGTACACATTCATCTGCAAAAGATTCAAAAATACTATACGGAAAAACAATGACAAACACCCAAAATAACAGACCTTAAAAGCACATATTGACAATATGGTAAACAACTTTCCCAAGATACTCTAACAACTCACCTAAACAGACCAAAGCAAGTCACAAAGAAAGGGCCTGTGGACAATAAATATAGGTATTACATTGTATAATACTGTTCATTTACTTTTCTTAAGAAAATACTTTAGCTGGGTATAATGGCTCATGCCTTTAATCCCAGCACTTGTAAGGCAGGTGGATCTCTGAGTTCAAGGCCAGTCTGGTCTACAAAATGAGTTCCAGGGCAGCCAGAACTACACTGTAAGAACCTGTCTTGTAAAAAAAAAAGAAAAGACAACGACGACCTTATATTCAAGTTATGGGGCCACTGATTTCCACTATGACAAATGACAAATTTATTTCCACAGTTTGAAAAAACCCAGTGAGAAAGGGGAAGGTGAAAGTAGATACTGATCACAAGTGCAATACTGTCCATCCAACAACAGGAGAGAGTGCACTTAAAACAACTGCAGACTGCAAAGGAGTAAGTCTGTTCTTCAGCACAGGGCCCTACAGTCTACACAAGAGTCAAGGTGGGCCGGGCAGTGGTGGCACTCGCCTTTAATCCCAGCACTTGGAGATGCAGAGGCAGAGGCAGGAAGGTCTGTCAGTTTGAGACCAACCTACTCTACAAGAGCTATTTCGAGAGCAAGCTCCAAAGCTGCAGAGAAACCCTGTCTCGAAAAACCAAAAGGATGCAAGGTGGTTAAAGGGCTCGCAGCAAGTCAAAGTCACAAAATGATTATTCTAGAGCATCAAAAGATGTTTAATTACATTCTACATCCTGATTTAAGACAGATAAGAATTGTATACTTCGTTTTAGCTTTTCATCCAAATCAGTTAAGCTAGCTTTTGATGCTTAAATAAGCCTGCAATTACCCTGTAAACTCAGCTAATCAAGTGGAAAGGAATCCATTTGAAGGTCCCCAGCAGCAAATGCTTGGCTCCTGGGTTAAGGAGCACTTGGTATAGAAAAGAGACACAAAGAAGGAGGGAAGCAGAGAGAGCATAAAATTAGAAAGTCTAAGAAAACAGAAAGGCAGTGTCTGTAAACACTAGCTAAATTCGTCTCCCACGGAACAAAGTGTGGGCACAGGGTGCCACATCAGCACGACTCCGGTTTTGGTCGTGCTTCTAAATCCTCCGTTTGTTTCATGAATTATTGATTTCAGCAATGGTTGAAGCAGCACCAAGTTTCAACTGAATAAGAGATATAACCTCTTCCTGATTTATACCACAAAACCAAATTCGGGTTTCACAACTTAACACACACTTGCCTTATGGTGACACAGATCTGATTTTAAAAAGAAAAAAAAAAATACCCTATCTTTAATTGTCTTTAATAGCCTTTTTTAAAACTATTTCTGTTAATTCGTAGTCATCTGAGGGAGTCAGTGCCTAGCCCAGGCAAAACTTTGTTATCAAAAGAGAACTGTTACAGCACTTAACAAAACTCCTTTTCACAGAGCCCTGCAACACACTCAAGGCTTCTCTAAGGCCAAAAGAAAACCCCAGGACGACCCAGAAAACAACCTTGTGGGCCCTGTACTTTTTCTCCCCGGCGAGGAGGAAGTCCCGCTCCAAACAGGAAACTGCTCCCCCAGAGGTTCGGCTGGGAATTCTCGAAGACCGAACCCCCAAGACAGCCCTCAGGTGGAAATTCGACGGACTGCTAAATTCCAGCACACCTGACCGGGGAGACTGCCAGGAAAACACTTCCCAAACTACCCACGGAAGGGGAAGGAAGAGGAGGCACAAATCACTGCCAACGCCAGCCAACGGCAAATGGCAGACAACTATTTTCTGCGCTTCCAGCTCTCGACGACAAAATGTCTGTGTGGGCATAATGGACGTGGGGGGTGTGAGAGCTTTCTTTTTTCTTTCTTTCTTTTTTAAAAACCCAATGTGTGCCCAGCCTCAGAGGAGCAAGAGTTGCCAGCGCCACTTTGTCAAGTTCGCGATCGCCCTCCCCCATCGAAGCCGGAGGCTCCCGGAGGGAGCGGGGCGGCCAGTCACGGGTTCGAGCCCCGCTGTCCCGCAAAGAACCGCCGAGGGGGAGCGTCCGACCCGTCCCGCCCCGACCCGCGTACGAGCCCCGCGGCCGGTCGGCGCGACGATGCTTACCCATGCTGCGGCTCTGGCGGGGAGAGCGCGGCCCGGCGCGCGGCCTCTCCTGTGCACCGGCTCAGGCGCGGCGGGGAGGCGCCTCCATCCGCCCGCGAGCGCGCTCCGCCGCTCCTCACGCCGCTCCTCCGCCGCGGTCCCCGGCAGGCGGGAGCGAGCGGCGTCCGCGCGTGCGCACGCGGCGCCCTCCGCCGCGGTTCCCGGTCGCTTCCGCTCGCCTCAGCGGCACCGGCCGGCCCGCCCCGCACCCACTCTCTCAGAGGCCGAGCGCGCCCCGCTCGAGACCCGGGTGCGATGCACAAGCCGGTGCGCCGAGCGTTGGGACCCGGCTGGGGCGAAATCTCGCGAGAATGTTCTGGGATTTTTTTTCCGGCCACGCCCCCTGAGGCCCCTGCGCGCCACCCCGGCTCCCGCAGCTGGTGCCAGGTGCGGTGACGTCACGGCGGGGGCGCGCGCCGCCCTCCTCCAGGTGCGGCGAGCTGCGGGCGCGCGGGGTCTGCGTGGGGCGCGCGACAGCCGGCGGGCGTGGGGTACCAGACGGGTACCGACGGGGTTCCGCGAAGTGAGCCTGGGTTGCCCCGCTCTCTTTCATCCAAAGACGTAGCTTGTGGGAGATCTAAGAGGGGAAAACTAGGGGAGCGAACGCTTTGATTTCGAAGTTCAAGGCAGGCCCGGCAAACGTGGGGACCCCACAGTCCACCTGCAGAGCACGCGCTCTCCTTTGGGGGGTTGGAGGTGGTACGAAGTGACTTGTTTCATAGGAATACATTACCGTATTCCTTGAGTCTCTTGTTGGCCAAAGACGACTTCCTAGTCCCTGTTTTTGAAATAGAAGTTATTCTAATTTAGGCATCATGGTTTGAAACATTGCCAGGCATTTTTTTTTTCCTAGACTCAATATGAAGGTCGGCTTAGGACTACTGTAATCAGACAGGAGCTTTCTTCGAATTATAGACAAATTTTATTAATTCTGCGTAATTTACCTTTCTTTTTTCTTTTCTCCGCTCCTAATTGAAAAAAACACCTTCCACTCCTGATTGAATATATGTGAAGCAGCATGTGTGGACTGCCAACTGTCGTGTCTGGTGCTTTTCAGAGAAATTAAGTCATGGAATTCTCACAGCTACTCGACACTTAAAACCGTCTTGCCCTTTGGGACCAGGCCAAGTTGGGTCTCTGCAACTCAACCCTGCC